TGCGTACCTTAAGTAGGCCTGCAAATAAAATACAGACCGTGAAATGTACTGTTACTAATAACGTTACTTGAAAAGTAACATTACTACTCATGCAACTGAGAAAAAAAGTAGAACTTTTCGACGCCGAGCACGGAGCATAGTTAAAAAGTAGTGCTGACAGCAAAAGCTAATAAGCTTAGATGGATGCTGCACAGCGGCGGAAGAAAGTGGAAAGAATGGAAGATCAATTCTTCCACCAAAAACCTCTAAGGGCCTGCCACGAACAGTCACTAAGGCATAGAATGAGCTACATTCGACTGAGACATAAAAACTTATCAAGTGAATAAAGAGCCACAGTGGAAGAAGCTTCCCCCTGTCCATGTAAGAGATTGATGGAAAGATGAATTTAGTATGCAGCTAATAGCAGGACTCAAACAATTCAAATGACCGAAATATGAGGTCAAATGGTAGTGGACGTCATGCCACCAATGACCCAACAGTCAAATGCATTAGCGATGTAGTTACCTTTTAAGCCTTAGCGGGCAAATCGACTCAACTTAGTAGAGTGCATGAAAACAAAAAACAACGTCAAGCTGAAAAAGCGATTCATAGAGATATTGAAGTAACTGAAACCAAATAAACATCGGATCTGCAGGTCAGAAAATGAGGAATATGCTGCACTCCTGAAACCCAAGATAAATTGTTAAAAAGCGGTGATAATGGAGCTAGTTAGCTCGAATAAGCGGTACAAGACCAAATATTCACCCACCCGAATGCCATTTTGAGCAATAAATTGACAGGTACGCGGTCGATAGAAGTTTTCCATGCTTTTGATATAAGCAGCCTCGAAGTGGTCAACGTAGTTCCATGCCTTAGTAGTTGAAGTTGCCGATAAATTTACTAAAAAATACTCCCAATTGGTAGTCTCATCGACAAAGCATCCCAAAAGGAAAGTCTAAAGCCCGAGGCATACTCACCACATGACTCTCTTACACCAATCACAAGAGCAGAATTAATAATAGCGCCCTCACGTTCGTCTTGAACTAATTTCATTGCACTATCCTCGAGTTTCTGTTTAATGCCCTCGAAAATGGTTACATCCCACGTGTCTAACATGCACTAGAGAGAAGTGAATTGACTGGAAAAGGTTGAAGTACCTTTCGAACAATACTGTACTTCAATTTTCTTTTGCTAGGTCCACTAAGGTTGTGTTTGCCCCCAAGACAATTTTCCAGAGGGGCAAAGGGATTCGGTAAGTTATCACTTTTTTCAGAAAACAATACCCATTCCTGGATGTAGGCTTTCAGTAAGGAAGATTCATCTTGACTTTGCATAACACGCTGTTGGGATCGCTTAATAGCGGCTTTAATAGATTCGGTTAGTGATCGAAACATTTCATCCTGAGCCGATTCCTCCCACGATATTATTTGATAAACATCCCTGAAGGGAACAAATACTAAGCAAAAACGGTCTACTCAAAAAGTTTCACCCATTCAGCGGGAGGCACGGGTTCCATATTAAGGAAGCGCCGAACAACATCGCTTACGGCTGGCCAACGGCGCTGAAAAACCGACTCCTGACCAGAGGACTGGCAACGCATGTATGAACATAAAAAACGACATTACCATAAGCATTATTCGCAAAGTAAACAATAACTTAAGAACTGGTGCATAACTGCACAAACCTGCCCAGCTTATAGAATGATCAATAAAAGTAGAACCAACACCCCAAGCAGGCCAAGTTCAATCGCTTAATAATTACACATTGAAATCCAATACGGTAAAACAAATAATACGTGCATTAAAAATAACTTAACAAACATAAAACACAAAAAAGCTAACACCACAATGTAGCGCTTTTTATTATATTTTAAAATATAACTGATTAACTTACAGAATTGTCAATGCTGCTCTTATTTTACAAGCTAATCCAAAAACAAAGCAAAGTACGTTATATGCATAAAAAATTATACCTACTACTTTTATTTTAATTACCTGTCATATATTTTTTTCGAACGGGGCTTGCTGAACATAAATATGCTTTAAAAACATCAACACTTTTCCGTTTGTAACAATTGTGTTTTCTTGTTTTTTTAACTGTTATTGCTCTCTACTAACACTGTGGTGTCCCGAGACTTCCTAGCCGGTATAGGAAATCAGTAAGTGCAGTTGGACACATGTAATGTGTAATGCTTTGTTTA